CACACACACACACACACACACACACACACACACACACACACACACATGCACGCACACACATCAGAAGAAACATGTAGCATTCAGTTGCCTGTTTCCACTGTGTGAGTCCCAGGCATCAGGCTTAGCAGAAAGCTCTATGACACACACAGCCATTGCCCTGGTTCTGTTTTTCTCTCCTGTGACTTGAAAATTACATGTTGTTTTATTATAGATATTGCCATTCAATAAAGAATAAAGTCATGTCTTCTAGATTATATCTTAAATTAAGTTTGCATTTTATCATTCATGTAATCCTAAAGACTTAAAGTACTTAACTGTGACTATAAAACTTCATCTTTAGCTCCATTATTTCAGGCAGTGATTCTACACATAGTTTGATACTCCACAAACATGAAAGAGGATGATGGTGGTAGCGTTCAATATTTACTATGGTAGTCACTACCCCTTGTTCCTCAGTCTTAATTGTGTTTACAAAGGAAATAATTTTTTGTCCAACTGACAAACTCCTTTAGCATATCTTTTAATGTGTCCAATGCCAACAGATCCCTTGTATTTGTATGCCTGGCATGATGGCATTTCCTTTTACCACATAAATATTTTCACCGAAAACTACTTAATTAAGCACTTTAAAAGGCCATCTCTAAACAAATCAAACAAATTTGGCTTTGCAGCATAATTAAAATTCTGGCATTAGTTTTCACAGTGTTACAAAAATTGTATATACTCAAAGCTAGTGTGTGCATGTTAAGATGATGTTAAGTGAACTTAGAAGAAAATAGAAAAACATTAGCAGTAATCCAGGAAAGAAACGCTTTAATTACAAGAAATTCTGGAGAGGAAAAAAGTGAAACATTTCTCCTTCACTGGTCAGAAACCCTCTACCTCAGTGCTTTAGAAGACTGAAGAGACACAGGGATCCTTGGGAGTAACCAGTGATTTAGGTAAAAGCTTTTTAGGCAAAAGTCACATGTGGTCCTTCCACTCTCCTGGGATAATACAGCTTTCTCCTCCTTTAACCAATCTTGTTCAATTTTGGCCAAGAGCCTTTTATTGGAATATTTATCATGAAATGCTTCTAAGAAAAGATCCTAAGAAAGGTAATTTCTAGTTCCTGTGGTAAATGAAACAAAGTAGAAACAGAGAAAATAATCTGGAGTTGCTTTCAGAAATTGCTGTGTACGAAGTTTCCCTTGGAGACACAAGTAATGTAACCTTTCAGAGACATATCTCAGGGGCCATCCTGCAGGTCCTATTTGATGTGAAAGATTTAGACAAGTGTTTCTTACTGTAACACGAGACTTTAAAGATATGCATATGTTTATATCATAAGAAACTTAAAGACTTTACCTATACCTACAATGGTTTCCAGCTTTGTCCATTTACCTGAAGACTTCATAATTTTGTGTTTTTAATATATGAATAATATTTCACTTTGTAAATATAAAACATTTCCCAGTATATTAATCAGTTAGTGGATGTCTAAGTTGCTTCCATTTTCCTAGTTATTGTGAGATGAGCAGCAGTTCACTTGGATGAGCAGGTGCTTCTCTTATGACATAGTCTTTCTGGTGTATGCTCAGGAATTACACATGATCTAGTAGATCTATTTCTGTCACCTGAGAAACTTCCATCCTGTCCCACATTGGCTACAGTAGTATACACTCCCAGCAGCAATGAATACATGTCCTTCTTTCACCAAACTGGCAATCGTCATAGTTTTCATAACTTATCTATTCTGATTGAGTGGGAGGAAATTTAAAAGCAATTTTCATTTTCATTTTCATGATAGCTATGGATATTAGACAGTTTTCTCCATTTCTCAGCCATTTGTGTTTTATCTTCTAAGAACTCTGTTTAGTTCCATTTTCAGAATTTTTAATGATGTCGGCCTTTTGGCTAAGATAAGTGTGTTGTTGGTTATCTTAATGTTTAGGCTTTCAGGTGTAGGTATACTATACATAATAACTTCCTGTCAAATATATACCTGTTAAAGTCCATTTTCCCATCTTGTAGTTCATTTTCACTTAAATGATGGTGCCATTTGCTGTGCAGAAACTTTTTAGATTCATGAGGTCACATTTATTAATTATTACTCTTGATATCTGTGTTACTGTGATCCTGTTGAGAAAACCCTTTTCCTGTACCGATGAGTTCAAATGTATTCTCAACTTTCTCTTCTGCGGTGTAGAAAATTAGGAAGATGACATGGGTTGGGGTCTGCAGTTGGTGGGGCAGAATGTGGGTATGTAAGGGGACTAATGATACAGGCATACTTTCCTGTGAAAGAGAACAGGGGTCTAAGGGTAGGCTAAAGGAGAGAACACAGTGAAGGACAGCAAATGCCAAAGACATTCCAAAGCAGTCAGATGAAAATGGATCACTTCGGGAAGCCTCCTCAAATATCTATACACGAATGTGTAGTTTAGATGTAGTTGCCCTGTTACAGGGCAACAATGACTTTTCTGGACACCAACAATAAGCAAAAAGCCCAATTCCAGGAATGTGCTTTCTCTTTTGGAGTTGTTAGGAAGCGAGGTCTCGTAGACCACCTAGCATTATAGGTTATTGCCAATGATTTGGTCACCACCAGAACTTGACAGTAAGGCTCTGTGGCTAAAGACACCACACACTTGAATTTGAATTTGGAGAAATCAGGCTGGTTACCACCTGCATGCTTCTTTCCTACTAGCTCGTCTTCACAAGGCTAATGGAGGAGAAAGGGAATCACGAATCTTAGCCAGTTGTGAACTAAACCTGAGAACTACAAGAATTACTGGCCTGCAGAAAAACAAGTTCACTAATGCAACAGGTCATAAATGACACAGTAGTAACCAATCACTTTCTGAGTGCATCTCAGTCCAGCTTCCTGAGATAAAACAAGTATCTGACACTGTTGTTGAGCTAAAGAAAACCTGATGCTAAATAGGTCATAGGTCCAAAATAAACTAGTACTATTACTCTGCTAAATGATCATAGTATTAAATTGACTCCCCAAACACCTTTATACCCATAAATTAGTATCTCTAAACTATCCTCAGGGAAGCTTCTTTAGACAACAGACAACAATGTGGAGACCCACAAGTGATCCAGGTCGGTAGATGACATACTGCAGAATGCACTGATCTAAGTGGGACATCTATATTATACATTCTCCACACAAGGTTCAAGGATCACTATGGAGACAACAGAAAGATTCCCTAAGCCAAAATGTTTAGGTGACTGAGGAAACCATGTTTTCTGGACATAGCAGAATAACTGCATGGATCAGTCCATAGCAGTTGAGATAGCATAGACAAAAATATATATGTGCCTGACAAAACCCAACCACAGAAAGGAAGGTAGCATAAAAGTTCTATCTCTACATAAGGCACTATTGGCAGTTGATAGCTGCTGATATCAGGAAAGCTGGGTTTCTTTAAGGGTACAGCCTCTTCATCCTCCAATGAAGCCCATAGAACCATGGCTATATGAACAGCACACATTGAATTTAATGAATTTTTTTAAAGACTGGATTTTGAGAAGAGGGAAGACTAGATATGGGAAGAGTTGGGGGGATGGCTATGATCAAAATATATTGTATGAAATTCACAAAAAAACTAATAAAAAGGGAGAAAGATCCTTTTGAGTGACACCAGCTGACTTACCATAGTGAAATGGCTACAGAGAGAAAATGGGTGCCAGGGAACATGTGAAATAAAGAGGAACTCTGGACACCATTGAGACTGTGCATAATGACAGGCATTGCAGAAACATTGGTATAGACTACTGTCAAATGATCATAGAACTTACTTATTGTACCTGAAATTATAACTAGCAGACAAAAGAATTTGGTCTCAAAGATAGGTCCACGACTACCAAATTCATTGTGATGTTTCTCATGATAGAAAAGTTGTGGATTGAATGACTCTCAATGGCTTATAATTATACCCAAAGACCAGTATCTTCCAACCCTCATCATGGAAATATTTTTCAGAAGATACTGATTAACACGAAGACCCACAAATGATCAAAGCACAGAAAATAAGACACTAGGGAATGCCTATCATTAAACAGGACATGCATATCACAGTCTATCTTCTCAAGTACTAAAGATCAGTGAAGAAGAAAGGAAATAGAACTATTTTAAGAGTCATAAAGTGAGGGCTGAGTGTTAGGAAATAGTCTTTTCTGGACAAGGTGGGGCAACTGTACACATGAATTCACAGCAGCTGTACTTGATTTTTTTGTTTGATTTTTGGGGGCTTTGTTTTGTTTTGCTTCTTTGTTTTAAAAGAGTACAAATGTTGGGTGAGTAGTGAAGGAGGTATGGACTTGGAAGCAGAGGGGTCAGGTATTGACATGATCAAATTACATCAAATGGATACTTAAAAAACTAACGAAAAGAGAACAAAACTAAATTTTACAAATTAGAGAAGATAATATGTCATATACCTCAGTTGTATTTAATAGCAAAATCAAACTTACTTAATTCTAAATGACATCAAATTTTATATTTAATAAAAAAAGGCTATGAGAACAACCTAAATGTGTATCAATAGATGAATGTTTATAATAAATGCCTCATTCTCCTTCTGGTTTCTTTGTCTTCTCCCTCTTCCTGGCCTACTCCTTTGCCATTCATCCACAAACAGCTCATATGTGTGACAAAGTAGACACAAACACAGAAGCATATTTCTGAAAACAATGGAGACTTTAAATACAAAATATTCTCAATTAAATAGTTTATTTAAAAGCATGTATTTTTTTACACAGAAGATGAGATTCCAACTGGCTCACATTACACAAGGCAATATGTAGACATCAAAGAATTCTGCAAGCCATCATCAGGACAAACTGAAGGTAAAAAGGAAGATAGGAGTGTTGTACTTCATTTAATTTACTCAGGAAGCTAAGTATAATAGGAAACTTGAACCTAGGAATTTTTGATGGGGGAAAACGTCTAGATATTTCCAGTAGGAAAGGTGGTTACAGCCTAGAGACTGGGCAGCTGTAGAAATTCATCAGTAGAAGCCACAAGACCAATATCTTCTATAGCACAGTGGGCGGTAGCAGCCATAACCATAGCCACCAGAGCCACAGCCATAGCCACAGCCATAGCCATAGCCTAGGCCACCATAGCCATAGCCCAGGCCTCCATAGTATCTGCCATAGTAACACATGGTGTCAGTAAATGGGAATGAGTTACTGGTGATCAGTTACGAGAACAGTAAGGTTCTTGAGTATGGATGCCACCATTCATCAGCAGGCTTTTATATACCTGGATAGTTCTTGGCAAAACCACAGACATTACAGCATCACATGTCTCCTCTTTGCTTTGAAAACATCATGGATTGTGATTTATGAGTACACAAGGATGCATAACTGACATAATTGTGTCCATACATCACATGGCCATGGCCAGATTGTGCATCCTGATTCAGTTGCCAAAACTCTGAGGCATTCTTTATTTAGTTGAGTAAATACATGACATAATTCTGACAGATGACATAAATCATTAATTTTCGGTCTTCTCCTTTTTATGTTTACTAGGTTTTCCTTACTCGGCAAGAAGGTCTTTGTGTTTTCTTTCCTGTTATTTTGTTTTGTTATTTGAAATCCATCTTACCTGAGAGAGTACATTTCTGTCATTTTCCACAAGTAAGTCAACAATTGGTTACATTATCTGTAACTTGTTGGCAAGTGTCAACATATTTAGATATATTCCTGACCACATCGTTTTCCTGCATGTTGTTTTAAAATCATCAGAAAATAAATACCACTTGTGTGGAAACTATACATATTCCATGTTTCTCTTTGTGAGCCCATGTGATGATGTTGAGGATGTCACTTTGAAATGCACTATGATTGTGGGAGTAATCCAAAGTCAACTCTGATTAATGTCTTATTTTTTTTTAATCAGGACATACATGCGCTCTCACACATGACTTTGCAGGAGAGCAGTGACACCGTTTATCAGTTAAGCAGACAGCTGGAGATATCTCACTAGGTAAGAATACCTGCTGTGAAAACAGAAGCACATTAGTTCAAATCCCTGAATCCACATAAAAAGCTTAGTGTTGTCACATCGGTGCTGTAGGTTTAAGAAACAGGAGGACTTCTAAGGTTTTCCTGTTGTCAGGCAAACAGGCAAATTGCATGTGCAGTGATGGAATCTGTCTCACAGGAGTAAAGTTTGTTGAGAGAGAACAAGATAGGAAATTTCTTCCCTGACCTCTAGTCATATTCGCCCAACCACCAACTTATGTATGTGTGCCTACTACAAACACACACACACCAACATCAATTCCCATGGACATTCTCCAGTGATGGGACCTTTGCCTTGTATGCACAAAACTTCCGAAACAATCCTGAGTATTGTCCCCTCTAAAAAATAACTCTACAGACTCCTTAAATTTGATCAAGTAAGCCACATACACTTTCTTTGTCTCAGTTTTTATGTAAAGGCTGTAGTATTCGTATTAATAGTGCAAAGGCTTCATTAGAAGGCATGGTTTTGAAACTTTTAAAAATTTATCAAAATACATGTTGTATAAAGCAAAACATATCTATTAAATATGATCAGTTCAGGGAGTATAATACTCAAAGAAACAAATATTGGAAATGAGAACACATCATGGTAAATATGATGTGTTCATCATATTTTCATGAGAAGAGCATGTTTTCATGAGAATACAATTTCCTTCAGATTTAAAGCACCTAACCTGGAATTCTCTGGATCCACAAACACTTCCAGTTACATAATTATTATCATTATAAACAAAATCAATCGTTCATATATAGGAAAAGACTATATATGAAACCAAATAATGAATAAAAATAAAATTTTAAATGAATGGAATAAACATAAACTTCAATCAACAGAACTTGTATAAAACTGCCTTACATATTCCAAATTAAATTCACATGTATGAAAGTCAAAGCTAACATTCAGAAATGAGAGAAAACACATGATATTGGTGTATCTGTGTTTGGGTCACTTCATTCAGAATGAATATTTACAGATCTGTTTATCTAAAATTGCATAATTTCATTTTATTGAGAGCTAAATAATATCACACTGAGTAAATATAATGTTTTGCACTATGCTTTCAGCTGTAGATCGTCATCTCGGTTGCTCCCATTTCTTGGACGCTGTGAGTAGGGCAGCAATGAATATGGAAACAGAGGTAACCCTGTAGTAGCATGTGTGCAGCCAACCCTGGTATTATATCTGAATCATGTATTAGATCTCTTTCTAAATTGTGAGGAGCTTCCATTCTGACTTCTAGAGTGGTTGAGACAGCTTGCACTCCCATGAGCAGAAAATAAAGTGTTTCCTTTCTCTAAATCCACATACATCAGCATCTGTAGTCAGTTGTGTTTTTCATCTTATCCATTCTGACTGGAGTAAGAAGAAATATCAGGTAGTTTTCATTTCCGTTTATCTGTTAGTTAACAATGCAGAACAGTTTGATTCTACATCCTATTTTATAATTGAATCCTTTATTTTCTTGATGTTTAGTTTTTGAGTTCTGTGTGTATTTTATTTTATTTTTTGCAGGGGGTAAGAACATTATTTCACTAAAAATGATGTGAAAAAGTTTCTAATTCTTCTATATTTCCCTCTTTCCATGTTCACTCTATGAGCTTCATGCATGGGTTTATTGGAGCGCATTCCTCTGTCTTCTGTCACTGGATGATGAAAACACTGAAGAATTAGAAAGTTAAAGAATAAAGACAGAGAAAGTAATGATGAGGCTGAGTGAGAGCTCAGTCGGTAAAGCATGGCCTAGCAAGCAAAAGTACTGGAGTTAGAGCTCCTCGGAGTGCTGTGGAATAATCCTGTACACTGTAAAACAAAAAATGTGTGCAGGTTTAGAAACCAGGCTTCTATTGAAGTATAGTCATTAAAGATTTTTCCATTATATAGGATGCTTCTTCACTCAAATAATGGTATCATTTGCTGTACAGAAACCTTAGCATTATGAGGTCCTGTGAATCAATTGTTGGTATTAACATCTGTACTTTTGGATTTCTAGCCTGAAAGTCTTTCCTTATGCAATAATTTCTAGTGCTTTCCCAACTTTCTTCTCTATCAGGTTCCATAAACAATAAGTCTATTGTTATGTCAGCATCATGCCATATTTATTTTTACAGAACTGTAGATATCAGAAAATTCCTAAGAGGACATGTTGGGAGCAGAACTTGGAAAGAGAGTAAAGATAGAATGGAGTAATATAAATGTGTAAGGCATAAAAGTGCAAGAGGAATGGGTGCAGGAGGGCATGAAAGAGAAGAACCTAAAAGAAGTTACTACAGGCTAAGAAACAAGTGCCCATTACCAAGAATGGGTTACCCTTTCCACAATTGTTTGCTATAAAGATCCCATAGACACCCCCAAAATGACAGACTTTTCCCTATCATCTTATTTAGTTTCTAAGACTTGATGGTAAGATCTCATTGCTGAAGACCGCAAATCTGTGAGTCACAGAACATGGAAAATAACCAGGTAATTCCACAGAAGCTTTAGCCCTACTAGCAAGATTCCTTAATTCTGAAAACTTCTATGTATGCTAAGTAAGGGGGAAAGTAGCCATGGGCCTTATGCAGCTATAAACCTTGTAAGCCACAGTAATATCTGGCCTATCAAGATAAGCCCACTAGTTCAATAGTTGTAGGAACAGGTTGGGAATAAATGACCAGTTTCCAAGTGATTTAGGGCACACTTCATAATATGAAATCTGTACTTTGCACTACTCTCCGGTCAAGAATCTATGGCTGGACATGTGTTTGGACCTAGAGGAAATCTGCTACTACTACACTGCTAAAATGGATACAATATTAAGGACTACCAATATCTTGCCATTAAGTCCATTGACTGGTGCATCTTAAATCTTCTTCAAAGAAGCTTATTTTTGCCACAGATGTTGACTCTGGCAAAGGCACATTACTGGTCAATGAGCAGAAAATAAGGGACTGCAGAACACTTAGCAATAATTGGGACATCTTTATCATACACTACTCCACAAAGATCTGGTTTCATTGTTTACAGAAGAGGGAAGAGCAGACTGTAAGACCAAGAGACCATAAATAAATACAAGTAAACATTGCTTTCCAGACAAAGCTAGAAATCTGCATGTGTGAACTCACAACAGCTGTGGCAACATCACAAGATCTGTGCAAGCTTAAAATAGAGAAAAATCCCAACATGGAGAAAGGAGGTGGGCACAAGGTCCCACTACTAGCTAAGGAACTATTGGAAGCTGATAGCTGCTAGAAGATGGTTTCTTTAGGCATGTGACTCTGGGTAGGTCAGCCATGCTCCCATGGATACCCACACTTCCCAGAGTACATAAGCAGCACAAATAAAACAAGTATGTTTAATATAATTTTATTATTATCCCCCCAAAAGGGAAAGTTTTTTGTCTTCAAAATGCTAGCTCAGCAAGAAAGGGACTCAAAGTACTATGGTATGGGAAAATAAGTAGGGTGGATCTTGGAGGAAATTGGGGAGAAGGGTAAATATGATCCAAACACAGTTTATGAAATCCTCAAAGAACTAATGCTTAGTCTCAGAATCAATTTGGTTATGACTTTTTAAACAGACAACAAAAATGGAAAGTCATATCATATCCAACTAAGACTCTTTATACAACAGAGCAATCCATAACAGAAAAGAAGACCAATATATATATAAAATAGGAGATTAATAACCATTACTAGGAAATATCTCCAGCTGAATAGATGGAAGACAGGAAGCTGATGTTAACAAGATCAGAGATTGGAGTAGACATTTTTCAAAAGGAAATCACAGATGACCCAAGGGTTAAATAAGGTTCCATTTCATTAATATCTCAAAATTACAAATCAAACACACTATAAGACTGTAGCCAACAGCTGTTAATAAAATGGGTCTTAGCATATGGGTGTTAGAGAACATGAGAAGGAAAGCCGAGCCTGTCGTCTGTGAGAGCGCATATGATGACAGCCATTGTAGAAAACACTGTGTAGACTCTTCCTCAAATAGTCATAAAACTAACTTGTGATACTTCTGAAATTTCAGCTAGAAGACAAAAGACTTTGACCTCAGAAAAACATCTGTACTAGCAAACTCATTGTGGCATTACTCACAACTGCGAAGATACGAGAACAAAGCAGATATCTATCAAAAGATGAATGTTCTGTCTCTCCTCTTTCTTTTCTCCCACTTTCTTCCTTTGTACCCCCAAACCCCACACAGTTGTGACCAAGCAGACAGGAGTCCACAAACATACATTCCATATGAACAGATAACATTAAATAGAGCCAAAGGGATCAATATTTTCAATGAAATAGTTTATTTAAAAAGAAATGATTTTAATACATAGGTAAGTATCTAACTGTGTCTCATTTTTCCAAAGGCATTATGAAGACAATGAAGAATTTCTCTGCAAGCTGTCACACTGTCAACATGTAAATGAGGAATATGATGGGCATGCTGTATTTTGTTTACTCTTCCTCAGATAATTTAGTATAAGGTTGGAATTTATGATGAGTTTCAGGAAGAAAGTTGGAGTGAGCAGCTACAGAATCTCCTCAGTAGAAGCCATAGGACCAGTATCTTCTACAGCACAAGGGGCGGCAGCAGCCATAACCATAACCACCATAGCCACCATAGCCACCATAGCCACAGCCATAGCCACAGCCATAGCCATAGCCTAGGCCCCCATAGCCATAGCCCAGGCCTCCATAGTATCTGCCATAGTAACACATGGTGTCAGGAGTGGACTCTTCAGAGGAGATGAGCAGTGGTTTCCTTGAGTTTGACTGTGACCATCTGCTGAGGGCCTTTTATACACCTGGCTTGTTGTTAGGGAAAACCACAGGCATTGCAACATCATACATCTCTCCACTGTGCTTCAGAAAACATCATGGGTTCTGTGATTTACTGGACAAACAAGGCTGCATAACTGGGATAATTGTGCTCCTACCTCAGGACTCCATTGTCAAATCATGGGGCTTTAAAATGGAGGTGGCCATGGGAGAAATCTGAGAGGAGAGGGAAAAGAAGGTGTGGGAATGATATAAACACTGTATCTACTAATACAATTCTCCAAATACAAATAATTAAAATGTGTTTAAGGAAATAAAATCCTATTCTTTTTGAACACTCTATTCTGTATTTATTTGAGTGAATTTATGTGGCCCTATTTCATTATGTTAAACAATTCATTAAGATACTTAACTCTGTTTAACCTTTTGTTGATTCAGGAGACATTTCCATTACTGCATTTTGAAAAAAAGTACTTTCATTATATACAGACCTATTCTTTGTGATATCTCTTCCTTAATTTTAATGAACAAGGCCTTTTGTTTTTGTTATTTGAGACAGGGTTTCTCTGTAGCTTTGAACCTCAAACTGACCTCAGGCTGACCTCAAACTCATAGTGATCCACCTGCCTCTGCCTCCCGAGTGCTGGGTTAAAGGACTGTGCCACCACCACCCAGCAAAGCTTATCTTTTAATAGGAAGAAACTAAGTTTTAATATAATGAAGTTGCTAGTTGTTATAATTTGTATATATAAGCTTCCATGAGTCATGGACATATATGTTCTCTGATCAATCTGGGTATCACGCTCTTGTCTAACATTTATTTTGTTGCTTCCTACAGGTTATCTTTGGGCTGCCACTTGGTTTTCTGGGCATGAGCTTCAGTTATTCCTCACACATATGACTTCATTGTTAACAGAGTTTTTGTAGACTTTGGTTAAGAAAAGTGATTACTTAGTCTGCTTTTTGAAGATGGTGACTTAATCCAGAAAAATAAGTGTATATTCAACCTTGGAGGGTGGCTTATTTGATGTATCAAATCCACGCTGTTTTGTTTGACTAAGGAAGCTTTTGGAACCACATTACAGCTTCCACAAGGAACCTTACCTTCAGCTTCCACAGGGAACCACACCTGTTAGAGATATACAAGCGAAGTGATTTCCATCACATATTTTAAAAAGAACATCTGCCAACTTCATGTAATTTTTGCTAATAGAAATGAAATAATATAGCATCTGCCATGCTTCTAACTCTGAGTCTCTCTCAGAAAGCTGTCTACTGAGGAATTCACCATAGGTGTTCACAGCAGGTAATTGGGGGCTTACCTACCTCTCACTAGACACACATGGGACAGAGGAAAAGGAAAGGGGCATGATAAATGTCCATAGAGAACACAGTATTTAGGCTCTTCAAACACATCATATTACTACTTTTTTTTTCCACAAAGCAAAATGTTTCTGATACCTGGGTCTATGAAACTTAGGCATGGAACATTTCATGACTGAAATTAGAATATTTGTGGCATCACTAAAATTGGATATTCACATATAAAACTCATTAATGGGAACATTTTTGTCTATCCTAACAAAGATTTAACTCTAAGAGTAATCAAAGACATAAAGGTAAAAAATAATGCTAATGATTTTTTTTCTATTAAAATATCCAAATATGATAGTGCTATGTTTAAAATACTGTATTCTTTCTCCACCGGGTTTTCTTTGGGAAACAATTAACTAATCATAAATTACTAGGCTTACAATATTATAAATACATATGGACATTTGGAATTGAATTCTAAGACAGTATATGTGTGTTGTTCTAATTCTAAACTTGCAAGACCCTTGTGGTATGCACTATTTTATGGTTGAGAGCTACAAAGCCTCTGATTTTATTACTTTTCACCATTGTCTTCTCTGTTATTTCTTAAATATTTAAAGATATCTTAAAGTCATGCTCAACATTCCTGCAAAACCAACTAAGATTTTGGCATATATTATATTGAAACTGCAGATCATCTTGAGACTCCTACCAGCTTAACAATATCAAGCTTTGCCATATACAAGCAAAAGACTGAATCTCTTTCAGCATTATTTTGCAGGTTTTTCCTCTCTCGTTATATGTCTTCCTTGTTTATGATTTCTATTATAAATTCATGTTCAGGTTATCCATCATTAATATATATAACATAAAATTTATACTTTATATTCATCCTGAGAAGATAGTATATCCATTAAAAAAACATGGAAAATAACATTACTTAGAATGTTATTACTTAGAATAATATTACTTAGAATGAGACAACAGATCTTACATAATAGGAAACTTACATCTCTGATAAGTATCACCAACTCCCAGACATGACTGTCTATCAACTCTTGCACTGGTCATAGCTTGACCCTTATTCTCTGTCATTAACATGCTACTGCCCAAGAGTATCTGATTAGGCTAATTTAGGGAGATCTAGGAAAATCTCGTATCTGTATTTGGATTGAAATTGAGACATAATCAATATCTCATTCTGGAACAAACCAGATACTAATGTGGGCTTCATATTTACAAAGTTATTCATTTACATGAGAGAGGAAACTTACACATTTAAAGAATCATTAACAAACAAATTCATGGAAAATTCCATACTACAGTAATAAAGTCACCTAGATACCAACTAGCAAGATACTGCCTAACAAATTTCAAGGTGAAAGAAGACATGGCAGTAAAGCAGCAAGAGGACTTACAGACATTCTACATTAAATATTCATGGCAAGAGCTTATCCAGAGGACATAATTATTTACATATTAATGATGAATGGGTGTTTTGTTAGCTTTGTAGCTGCACTAATGTCTCAGGTCATGAACTCCACACAGAGACACTAATAAATCCTAAATACTCATACTGCTGTGAAATGAAAACTGTATAACAAAATAGAGTAAAAATCTCAAGGACAAAGTGCCTCCAGTGAAACTTGTCATCGACATTAAACTAACAAAAGCATGGTGTTTCATGATTGGCATTCACATATCACAAATTTTTCTGTTAAAGGGATCTGCTTGTGTTGTTGGGATCCTGATGTAATGCCAAAAGGATTCTTAACTATGAAAGCTTCTGTGTCCCTAATAAACTGTGCATCCTTAAAGTTTAAAATATGAGTTACTGTCAAGCATGAGGCTAACACCTTCCTGTGGTTGGCTCTTCCCACCATATAAATTGTTGAAAAGCCAAGGGCATCTGGTGACATTCACAAAAAGGAAATTGCAATCTGCTCATCTTAACTTTGTCACTCTCAAAACTCTGAGCTTTTACAGCTACCATTGTTGTGGTCTGGGCTATAGCTATGGTAGCCATGGGTATGGCTGCTGCCCGCTCCCCTCCCTGCCATGTTGCTGTGGGAGTTACTGGTCCTACAGATTCTACTGAAAACTGTTTGGAGCTTCTTGGCCTGTAGAACTCTTTCGGCTACCACCTCCTATGCTCCCCAAAGGTTCATCCATGACATAAATTACTTATTTGTCTTGCTGAACAGTAAAAACAAGAACATCATAGTGCTGTTTAATCTTTCAATGCATCAGAGTTAGCAAGCTTCCTATATGGGATTCAACATTCATAAACCATGTTTCATTTGAGGAGTTATTACTTTAGCATCTGGTAAAACTAAATACCTTCAAAGTGAAATTTCTCTTTCCATTTCTATAAAATTTATACTGAAAACAATCAGCTTGCATGTTCAATTTTCTCTGTTGTTGAAGGTACATTTCTCCTTTATGTGTTCTTCCATGATTAAATGAAGGGAGTGGTTTGAAGTCCTGAGTGGATTGTGTTATGTACATGAACACACCCATGCCAAGGATACCAAAGCTTCAGAACCATAGGAATGGCAAGGACTCCCTAGGTCAGACTTGGAGAAATGGTAAGACTTTCCTCTGGCACAAGAACAGATGTTGACAGCGTACAGAAAACATCAACTGTATATCTGATGCCTGTAGTTGGAGACATCTCTCCACCAAGACGAGCAACTCTGCCTCCTCCTCTTCCATGGTATCTGAGGCACCTGTAGCTGGAGACTTCTCCCCCACCTAGATGAGCTAATCTGCCTCCTCCTCTTCCATGGTATCTCAGCAGCTGTTGCTGAGTCTCAGAGAACATGTCCCACCTGATCCCAGATTTCTTCATTTGTGCCTATGCTTGCCTGCTATGTCTTCATTCTCATCAACTCAGTTGGGGCAATCCCTAAGCCTTGGGAGTCACAGCAGTTAAAAGCAATCTTTCTAGAAGTAAATTCACACATTTAGAGAATGCATATTTTATTCTAATGCACGGAATAAATTTGTATGGCAGGTAATGAGGTGAACTTAATTCATCACCACAGAGCAGAAGGTTCAGCTCAAGCATGGCCTGTCCTTCACTCAACCTTACTGTCACTCTAAGAAAAGTGATGCTGTTTGATTTATATACTTCACTTTATTTAGATAACTTCCTTCAGTTAAAAGTAGATTAATGAATAAATTATCCTGAGTCTAGTATGAAGACATTGATATCTTTTCACTAAGATACATAAAAAAAGATTTCCTGAAGGAAAGTTTGTATGTGCCCACCTGGCAACTCAGTCTTACTCATTATGCCTTTTGTACTTCCAACCATCTCATTTCTGGCCACCTGACCCCAACCCTGGCAGTAAATGACATACAAAACATTATACTTGATATTTAAATGGAAACAACTTTAAACAAGCTTTCTCTAATTGATAGTTTAGATTTTCTATGAACAAATATCTCTCAGTACCTGAATCTTGTATTTCTGTTATCCATTGAGAGAAGAAAGAATGAAAAGTGGACTCAGTCCTGTTCTTAGAAAGCAATTACAGCAGCCCAAGGCAACCATAGATAAGAGAGCACCAGAGAATGTGGCTATGCTACAGAAGTCCCCAACTACACAATTAGACACTCAA